TTTTTTTTTTTTTTTTTTTTTTTTTTTTTTTTTTTTTTTTTTTTTTTTTTTTTTTTTTTTTTTTTTTTTTTTTTTTTTTTTTTTTTTTTTTTTTTTTTTTTTTTTTTTTTTTTTTTTTTTTTTTTTTTTTTTTTTTTTTTTTTTTTTTTTTTTTTTTTTTAGTGTTCTGTGTTTTAGAACTTTTTTCTTTCACTTCAATATTGTTGGGTATCCTCTCTGTCTCTAGAGATGTCCATTTCCTTTCTGTTCCATTCATAGTCCTGTTACCTAAAGTAGCTTTTCTGTGGACTGCTCTGGTCTTTACCCTCCATTATGATATTGCTATACTCTGTATTACTGTAACACTCAGAAGCAGCAACCATGCTATCCACTCCAAAGAGTCACTGTAGAAACATCCTGGCTGGAACAAATGAAGTCCCCAAGTGCACCATTAAAATAGGGCGGTAAAAAAAAAAAAAAAAAGAAAAAAAGAAAAAAAGGCAGAGAGACAAGGAAAGCACAGAGTTCAAGTGACTTCCCGAAGGAGACAAAGCTGGTTTGTGACAGAAGAACCACCTGCAGGCCCAATCCTTCCTTGTCCTGGATCTTGTGTTTCAATTTGCAGTCATGCATTTATATTCCCTCATTGTTGCGGTGGCACTATTCTTCTTTCCATAAAACCACTGTAAAACATGTGACACACACAACAGTCCTTTCAACTTGAGCGCCCCAGAATTAAAGACTTGAGCCATTTCCACCACACATGGAACGATTTCCCACCTCCTTGAATATGCAGTACAGATCCAGCCCTTAATACTGCACATACTCTGCCTGTTTTTAATCCTCTCCACGCTAAAGCATCTCAGTATGCCCCAGATTACAAACCCGTAACACTGGGTCAGCTGCTTTTCCTGACGACTGTCTTTAGTTCAGTTGCTTTGTCCTGCTGACCAACATCACATCAGAGGATCACAGAACCATAGAATCATCAGTTAGGTTGGAGAAGACCTCTGAGATCATCGAGTCCGACCTGTGACCCTCATGGCAACTGGACCACGGCACCAAGCGCCACGTCCAGTCTTTTCTTAAACCCCTCCAGGGACAGTGACTCCACCACCTCCCTGGGCAGCCCATTCCAATGACTAATCACCCTTTTTATGGAGAAATTCTTCCTAATGTCCAACCTAAGCCTCCTCTGGTGCAGCTTGAGACTGTGCCCTCTTGCCCTGTCGCTGGTTGCCTGGGAGAAGAAGATCGACCCCCACCTCGCTCCAACCTCCTTTCAGGCAGTTGTAGAGAGCGATAAGGTCACCCGAGCCCCCTCTTCTCCAGGCTAAACAACCCCAGCTCCCGCTGGACCTGCCGCTCCCTCCAATTTCACCCATTTGTTTAGAAACGGCCCTCTAAGTTCCGGAGGCCCCAGATTGCCCCTGCCTTGCCCTGCTGGAAAAACCCTGAGCCCGACACCACGGCATTTCCGCTTTCCCTCCCTCACGGGAAGCTCTCGGTGTGGAAACAAAGCGGGTGTTTCCACAGGGGGAGGCTCCGCCCGTCCCCGCCCGCCCTCCTCGCCGGGCGAGGCGCTGTGGGGCCGAACCGCCCGCCCCGGCCCCGGGGGCGCAGCCGGGCCCGGCAGCGGCGGCGATGGCGGCGGAGGGCAGGGCTGTGGCGGCGGCGGCGGCGGCGGCCGAGCTGCAGCCGGAGGGGGACGCGGAGGGCGGCAGCGGCGAGCCGGAGGGCGGCTTCGGGCAGCTGCTGGAGGAGGAGGAGGACGGGGAGGACGCCGGCTATGTGCTGTACAGGTGCGGCCGCGGCCCCCGGGGCCGGCACGGACCCTCGCGGCTCCTCAGGGGCTGGCGGCCGGGGGCGGGGGGGGGGGGGGGGGGGGGGGGGGGGGGGGGGGGGGGGGGCGGGGTGGCGGAGCTGAGGGGGGCCGGAGGAGCGGGGAGCTGGAGGGAGGGGCAGGGACACCTCTCGGTAGATCGGGCTGCTCAAGGCCTCATCCAGCCTAGCCTGAAACACCCCCAGCGCTGGGGCATCCACAGCCTCCCTGGGCAAACCTGTTCTACCGTCTCACCACCCTCGCAGTAAAGAATTCCTTCCTATATCTAACCTAAATACACGCTGTTTCAGTCTGTACCCCTTACTCCTTGTCCCGTCACTACGGTTCCTTATGCAAGTCCCTGTGCGGCTCTTCTGTAGGCCCCTTTTAGATGCTGGAAGGTTGCTGTGAGGTCTCCATGCACCCTTCTCTTCAGCCCCAGCCCGCCTGTCAACTTCGTGGCCCTCCCCTGGACTTGCTCCAACAGTTCCATGTCTTTCTTATGTTGGGAACACCCGTTTTTTATGCTGGTCTGTGTTATAGACAATAATGTAGTGGCAATAATAGTGGCTGTTGGAAACAAGGATGTATTTCTGGACACGTGTGTTTGTGTGTGTGTGTCACTGTTTATGTAGCATTTTGTGCCTTTTAGAAGCATTGAAATGACAAAAGTATGTGTTTACAGGGACAGGAAGGAATGGGCAGATATTGAACCTGTCCCTCAAAATGATGGGCCAAATCCCGTTGTTCAGATCATCTACAGTGAAAAATGTAAGTCTTAAATATGTTCCTCACTGAAAAATTCTGCCCTTGGCATTTTTGAAGCAAGATTTCGTGGTTTGGGTGGTATTTTCTACAATTCTGTTACGGCGGTTGCACATGTTGTTTTCACCAAGCTTCTCTGAAGTTGAATCTTCACCTGAGATGTTAATAGCCAAGGTACTCCCTTAAAATCCTATTGCTTAAGATAACATAGCAGACAGTGTAGTTCATGACATAAGGCATTTCCAGCCCACAAGTGAAAGTGAGACGTGAAGCTCTGGCATCTGGAGAAAGAGAGTGAGTAGGCAGCATGGAACTTTTATGATTGTTTTGGATGTTACCTCAGATGGTGTATTTCTAACATACTTTTGCAGCTTTTCAGTGGGCTAATGTCATGCAGAGGTTTCAGTTGAAGGCGCTGTCAGAGCAGTATGTAGCTGTTGTTTTAAAGAGGTGTATTTGAAGTACACAAAACGGGAAGTAACTTCAAAGGAATATTAACCTTACTCTCTAATCAGGCCATTTGTAGTGGGTTTCTGTGGCTGAGTTTTGGTAGTTGAGGGTCTACAGGGATGGCTTCTCTTAGAAGCTGCCAGAAGCTTCCCCTGTCTGGGGGAGCCAATTCCAGACGGCTCCAGGACGGGCTTCCTGCACCTGGACAAGGCTGAGTCCATCAGGAATGACAGTAACGCCTCTGGGATAACATATTTAAAAACAGAAGATAGTGGCACAGAAAGAATTTCAGCCAAGGACAAACAGAGTGAGAACATGGGAACAACAGTGCAGGCACCAAGGTCAGTGCAGAAGGAGGGGCAGGAGGTGCTCCAGGCCCTGCAGCCCCTGGTGCAGCCCATGGTGGGGCAGCTGTGCCCCTGCAGCCCATGGAGGACCATCGGGGTGCAGAGACCCCCCTGCAGCCCATGGAGGAGCCCACACTGGAGCAGGTGGATGCAGGAAGGAGGCTGTGACCCCGTGGGAGGCCCAAAATGGAGCAGGGTCCTGTTGGGGACCTGCAGCCCCTGGAGGGGGAAACCCAAGCTGGAGCAGGTTTATCCTGGTAGGACTTGTGGCCCCCGTGAGGGACCTACAGTGGTACAGCTCATTGGGGAAGGACTGCACCCCATGGAGGAGTGACCCACGGGACAGCAGTTTGGGAAGAACTGTTGCCTGTGGGATGGCAACAGTTCAAGGACTGTCTCTCATGGAAGGATCCCACGGGAGCAGGGAAAGACTCCTCTCCCTCAGCAGCGGCAGAAACAACAACTGACCCCAACCCCCATTCCCCTCCCCCTGCACTGCTGGGGGGGAGGAGAGAGAACATGGAAGGAGGGAGGGGTGGGGGAAAGGCATTTTGAAGGTTATTTTACTTCTCACTTTTGCTCTGATGCTGTTAGTAATAAAAGTAAGTACTATCCCCACTTTGAGTCTGTTTTGCCCATGAAGGTAATCAGTAAGTGACTTCTCCAGGCTGTTAACTCATGAGTCCTTAGCTGTTTTTTTTTCTTCTCCTCTGTCCAGCTGCAGAGGGGAGTGAGAGAGTGGCTTTAGTGGGTACCTGGCATCCAGCCAGGGTCAACACACTACACCATTGTCTCATACCCTGGGATAAGGTGCTGTTCTCTGTTTAGTTCGAGATGTCTACGATTACTTCCGGGCTGTTCTGCAGCGAGATGAGAGGAGCGAAAGAGCTTTCAAGCTGACAGCAGATGCCATTGAGTTAAATGCTGCAAACTACACAGTGTGGTACGTAACCATCTTGGAATTGTTTCTGAGGTCATTTGGTTGCCTAACTCTTATGTCTTCAGTATCTTATTAGTCCAATAAGGGGACGACTAGCTGAGGAGTTTGTAGATTTCCAGTGAGCTTCGGAAGAAAGCCTTTGTTCGGCGTTTTTCCGTGTCTCGTTTTGATTCAGTGGAGTTTTTTTGGCTTTGGGGATATTATCAGTCAAGGCCAGGGTTAGCCACAAAAAGGACTTCGCAGTTTAAAATTGTATCACTTATGTGATAATGTGGCCTTGGCAAAATGGTGAGGATGGCTTCAAGAAGACTCAGCTGACTTCAAGAAGAGGCATAAAAAACATGATAGCAAAGAAGTTTATCCTTACTAAGTAGTAAATTTTAGGAGATCTGTCAGGTTACTGTTTAGATGTGTAATTAATAAACGGTAAATTAGGGCCTTTTAACTCGCAAAAGCTAACAAGTGCTAACTTCCATGAAATCAGCAAGTTTACATTATTTTAAGCACAGAAGTCATAGTTTCTGTGACAAGACTAGTGTGGGTAGGCATGTTACCTTGAAACAGCATTGCTAGAATCTTAGTTTGCATACTGTTGTAACCAGTCATGTTCCAGTTGTCCACTGTTCAATACTTGAATGCCCTTCAATAAAACTAGACACGTGGTTTAGGTTTTTGCACTGTTTTTGTTTCTTTCACTATTTTTAGCTCAATATCTATTAGAAGAATTGTGAACAAAGGTGGTTCTGTGTTCTGCTCTGTGAATTTTTGGAAAGTCCTGTTGCAGTGTTCAAATGCTTGACTTTTATACAGGCATTTCCGGAGAGTCCTCCTGCAGTCTTTAGGAAAAGATCTCCACGAGGAACTTAAGTATATTACAGCTATCATTGAAGATCAGCCAAAGAACTACCAAGTCTGGTAAAATCCTGCAGTCTTTTCAGCTTGTAACATTTTTGCAGATAATTTTTGCTTTGTCAGTTGTCCATAAGTTGTGACCATTGATCCTAAAACTTATTAAAAGTTGCATTCTGCAGCTGCTGCAGTGGCAGTAGTGGAGGAGTTAAATGGAGTTGCATCATGTCAAAGTTCTCTTCAGCTATTTGTTCTAAACATATGCTCAAAACATGCTAAACAGATCTTGTTTTCTTGTTAATTTCAGTTTTTAAACTGTCAAAATAAGTCTGACAGATGAAAAAAAGTGACTTGTGAAAAAGCAAACAAAGAGACAAATAGCAATTAGTATTTTTTCTTTTATTGTGTCTTGGAGTTTGCTTGCCTGTTGATGGGTTTCTACAAAGTGAATGGGAATAGGAAAAACAGCAATGTTGTTATTGCTGGAGAAAATGATGTAGTACTAGAAAATTTTATTCTGCTAAAGATTTTGGCCACGAGTGCTAAAAGTGAAAATATGTTACTTCAGGTGAACTTTACTTGCCTGATATGAGATGTTTGGCCAATGTGTGTGTGTGTAGGCAGAATTTATTGTAATAGAAGTAGGCATCATACATTTCTCAGAGCCAAGTGAAATGTTTTGGTGTATTTAATTTGAAATACTTAACTAGTGGGTATTTTCCTAAGAAGTACTTCCTGAGTTGCTGTATGGTGCTTTAATACAGACCACGCGTTCACAAACAAATTTTAGACTTGATTCCTCTTGTCATCAGGCATCACAGACGGGTGTTGGTGGAGTGGCTGCAGGATCCATCCCAAGAGCTTGAGTTCATAGCTGACATTCTTAACCAAGATGCCAAAAATTACCACGCGTGGCAGCACAGGCAGTGGGTTATTCAGGTATTGTATATCCTCAGAACTCATTGATCCTTTAAATAACCTGCTCAGGTTTTAGAGTTTCGCTTCTTAAATACAACCTGAATTGCATTTGGCGCTTTGTTCCTTAAGGCTGAAGGGGGGAAAGCAACTGCATTTTTAATGTGTGGTAGGGGCTAGCTATGAACTTGCCTTTTAGGAAGTGAGGTCAAAAAGTTGCTTGTTGTTTGCTTACTGTTATGTGTGTGAATTTAATGATGAGCAAATAACTTCTGAGTGCCACTGAATAGTGTAGCACGTTCCTAGTGCACCCTTATTTTTTTATTTTGAACTTTGTGTTGATTTTTTCAAGAAAAGTCTCTGTATCTGATGTTCAGACAACTTAGGAGCAAGGAGCATGTATTTTAAAAAGATAAAACCTTTGGATTATGATTCTCTCTCTTCCTTCCTTCTCTGTAGGAGTTCAAATTATGGGACAATGAACTGGAATATGTAGACCAGCTTTTGAGAGAAGATGTGAGAAACAACTCTGTTTGGAACCAACGACACTTTGTCATTTTCAACACCACTGGCTATGATGATCCAGCAGTCCTAGACAGAGAAGTCCGGTTAGTTATGCTGTTCAGGCTCACATTAAGCGTTCTCCGTTACATGGAAGCAAAGAAATACTTTGACAGGCTGCATGGGCTTGTGTTTCCTGTTTTTCATGCACTTTTAAGGCTCATTATCATGGAGAGCAGATCAAGTGTTAGACTGAAGCAAGCTCTGCTTACCCCAAAACTTTTGGCTTTTTATGGTCAACTAGCTACTAGTGGGAAAACCCACAGGAAATCTGTGACAGTGGAACCACTTCAGCTGTGTCCTTCATTAGTATCCTACCCCTAGAAAGCTTGGAATGACAGGCACTCTTTGTGTTTTACTAAATTGCTGTTTCAGCAGTACAGTGGCCACAGTGATTTAAAGGTAATGTGGACATGGACTGTAGGAAGAGCAGTTGCCTTTTGTGAGGAATTTGATGGAGCTGAAAAAAGAAAGGAGCTTTCAGGGGTGTGTGGGTGGCACAAAGAGAACTAGCTCTGTGAGTTGGCCAGTTTTGAGGAAAATGAGCTCACTAAGTGGTATGTTTGTAACTGAAGGCAAACTGGGCTTCTAGACATGTATTTTACTACTCATGGTGGTAAGAGAAGGTTCTTTACATAGTTTTCATATCTCATCCTGCTGATCAGGGTTGTTAGTTATGAGAAGATATTTGTCTAATGTGGACAAGCAACCAAAATAAGGCACTGCAGTTTTTTGGAGTTATTCTTCAGAAGAAAGACTGAACTTCTGAGTAGGTCCATTAGTACATTGTTTTTAGAGGATCCCAGGCCTTGGGGATGGGATGGTTGTCTTTGCAACCTGCTGCAAGTTGTACTTCTCTACCAGTTTGTAGCTCTCCTGCAGATTAATAAATTTGGACTATTTCCATGGCTTAGACTTGGATATTTTCAACTTCTCTCCAGAGGTTAGTCTGGAGATCCTCCCTTGATCTGGTCAAGATAATTGGATCCCATCTTAAGAAGCAGACTTAGGTCAAAGGTTAAAACGTCCCAGATGTCATTACAGAACTGTGGTTGGGCTGCTTGATGCTCAATAAACTTGGTCTTTGTCCTAGTGACTGCAGAATGCTAAAAAAGAGTTAGGATTTGTTTGGTTTTTTTCTTCTAGTAGTCCTGATATAACTTTTTATCTGCAGTCTCTGGAAATCATTGGAATGCCTGGTTATGCTGGGAAAGGGCAGAAGATAAAGTCTGTTTTGTGGAGGTGAAATGTGGCATTGTGACTGTATGGGAGGTGCCTTTCTACAGTCTAAATCTGTGATTAAAACATCTTAACATACATATTCATATGATTACAACATCTAATCATGCATATTGATAATAGGCAGAGTCTGGGCAGAGCTTGGGGCGGTGCTTTCCCAACTACTGAAGCCTGCAAAAACCCTTGGCTCAGAGCCCTTTTCTCCTATTCAGATGTCTACCCTGTCTTAATTTACGGCCTCTAGGTTGATTGTATAGCATTTCTAGCATTCTTCTTAGGTTTAGGTCCAGTAAGCAGAACAGAACGAGTTTGGAATGTTTCCTTAGCAGCACAGGCAGAGCAGGTGTTGGGGCTTTTTCTCAACAGAGCAAGATACCTCAGTTAACTCTTTTAGGCCTTGCTCTCGTTTCAGAGGTGATCTGCAAAAAGGCTGAAGTGTAGACCAGAGGGATGTATTTGGAATCTTCTGAGCACTTTCAGGTAGTTTCTAACTGTATTGTTATTGGTTGCATTCGTGACCTGTTCTCTTTTTCTTGCAGGTACACTCTTGAGATGATCAAAGCAGTGCCACATAACGAGAGTGCTTGGAACTATTTAAAAGGGTGAGCTCTATTTCTCTGTGAGGCAAAGAGAATAGCTGTATAAGGTGTCTTATGCCTACTTCGTAATTGAAAAGAACTTGTTGCTGTTCATTCCAGTGTAGTGTGCCTAAGCAGGCAGGCAAACACTGACACAAGGTGTTACTACATTAACCTCATTCCTCTGTAAATTTCCACTAGGCTTCTGATCCTGTAGTTCTTGTAGAAGGACTGCAGGTGCTTCTCCTGCTTTTAAAAACTTGACTGTAATGTTACTGGGTTCAAGAGCATAGAGTAGGAAATAGGGAACATGCTTTCAGTCTGAATTCTATTCAGTTGAGCATGTACTATACTTACTACAAATTTAAGCTGTACCAGTGCTGCATGCTGCTTACCTTCTGCCTTGCATTTGCACCCTGCTTTCAAAAACTGATCCCCAAGTAAAGGAGTCATAACAAAAATGCAGTTATGCACACCAGATTTCCTATCATCATGTGTCAAGCCTGTTAACCTCTGTTCTAGGATTCTACAGGATCGTGGTCTTTCTAAGTATCCAAATCTGTTGGAGGAACTGTTGAATTTGCAGCCCAGTCACAGTTCACCCTATCTGATTGCTTTCCTTGTGGACATATATGAAGATATGCTTGAAAACCAGTGTGATAACAAGGAAGAAACACTGAACAAGGCATTGGAGGTACGTTTTGAGGACTCGGTTTTGCTTCTCAGGGATGCCATCCCTTCTTGTCTCTGGTTTTACAACCTGACAGAATGGGGTTGATTTTCATAAATACAAGAGGTTACTTTTTAAAAATGAGTAGTCTCTGAAGAGTTGAACACAAAAGCCAGACAATCAAAAGGGTCTCGTGAATTTAAATAACAACATTTTTTACAGAATCATGTTAAGTTTTCTTCACCTGGTAGTAAAGGAAGGTTTCTAATACTGCCTGCAGAAGAAAAAAGAGTTTTGGACAATCAGAGAGTTTCCAATGTTAACTTTGTAGCATGAACTCACTCTCATCTCTGTAGGTTAATGATTTTTTTTTCAGAATATCTGTATCCAAGCAATCTCAAGCTCCTTTTGCCCTTCTTAGCTTTTTCTAAGAAAGCTGTCACAATTAGCTTATGGCCAGCAGACACTGGGGACAGTAGTAAGAAATGTCAGGCACCATTTCCTCCAGAGAATAAATTCTAGCAATGTTGTTTATCTCCCAGTGCTTTGTATTTGAGTACTCCTTGGTGCTGTTTGTAGTGTAATTTTTACTAGACTTTCCATTCACTGTGAGACAGACTGGAGCTTGATGTAATTAGAGCTGCAGTTTTGCTTGATGTCTTCGTGTTTCAACATTACTCTTTCTCAACGTTTCCCCTTTGTTGTGTTCTAGGAGGAGACTGCAACTAAGAGCAGTTGTTGTAACCGCTTAGATTTATGTTGTTGTAACCTCCTAGATTTATGTCCCCTTTATACTATTTCACTGAATTTGATTTCTTCCTCTGTTTATGCATCCAAGCTCCTAATTTCTCGACTCCATTTCACTGAGTAAGGCAATGTCGTCTGCATAATAAAAGAGAATTTAGTAGAACATTTGTAGACAGTGTTCATACCATGTAAAGTTTACAAAACCTAGCCTGTGAGTAGGACGTACCTGAATGCTTACCCAGACCAAAATAAAAAAAAAAAAACCCAAACATATAAAAATGTATAGCACCAACTCTTAACATATCATGAGAGATGGTTTCTGACTTGCATGTAGAACCCTTTTGGGACGGTCTGCTGCAAAAAAAAACAGAAACAGAGTTTCTCCTGTCTGTCCATTAGGAGCACTGAAGATTAAAGAGCAGGATGATCCTCCAGTGTTTGGAATGAAGTGGTTTACAGCCTGTTGGATCACTAAAAGACAGTCAAGGTTCTCAGAAAGTATACTGTGAATATACTACAGACTGAATAGGCCAGGGTGGGTGGCAAGCAGTAGGCATGGAAAGAAGTCACAAGGAAACTGTTGAGACTGAAATGGAACTGGAGGGATTTTTGTGCAGTGCCAGACTGGTTGACTACCAATTGGAGTTGTCATCAGTTTGATATTGTTGGACAGGTGTAAGTCCAGCAAATAAAACAAATATTGTTGTTGAGAAAGGTGTTTTCTAATACTGTCTGAAACATGTATTGTATGCACTTCATAAAGACAAGGATTCCGTAAGCTTGTGGTTTAACACTCCAATCTCTCTATTTTTCTTTCGTAGTTGTGTGAAATTCTGGCTAAAGAGAAAGACACGATTCGAAAGGAATACTGGAGATACATTGGAAGGTCCCTTAAGAGCAAGCACAGTTCAGGCACTGAACAGACCAGCACAGTGACAGATAAGCCGCAGTAACTGCATATGGAAGAAAACAGTGTTAAGCTCTCAAGCCATTCTTAAGCAATACTAAGTAGAGTCATCAACTAGTTTAAAATCCAGTGTATTATTACCCCAGTGAGGAGATGTTGCGATGAAAGAGGAATGCAGAGTGCTGTATTGTCCTGGTTCTGGTGATAGCTCTTGATGCAGTCAAGAAATCACAGAATATGCTGAGTTGGAAGGGACCTACAAAAATTATCAAGTCCAACTCTTAGCCCTGCAAAGGACCATCCCCAAGAGTCACATCATGTGCCTAAGAGTATCATCCAAATGCTTTTTGAACTCTGTCAGGCTTGGTGCTGTGACCACTGCCTTGGGGAGCCTGTTCCAGTGCCCAAACACCCTCTGGGGGAAGAATCTTTATCTAATATCCAACCTACACCTCCCCTGGCACAAGTTCAAGCCATTCCCTCATGTTCTGTCACTGATCACCCCAGAGAAGTGTGACCACTGACAACATTGTCTTTCAGGTGTTTTTCAGTACCTTTAAGAGTAATCTTCCAGTACTTGCTGGTAAACCAGTAGTTTCTGGGGTCCTGATTCTTGCCCTCCTTGAAAATCAGGACGACGTTTGCCAGCTTCCAGTGCAATGTGACCTCTCCAGACTACCAAGACCCCCCCAAAAATCATTGAGAAAGGTTTTGTGATGATATCAGCCAGCTCTTTGAGGATTCTGGGATGAACCCCATCAGGCCTTGTAGATTTGTAAGGATCCAGCTGGAGCAGCAGATCCCACACAATTTCAGGGTTGAGTAGGAGTTGATCATTCTGGCAGTAAATGGTCCTCCCGCTCAGGGCACTGAGACCCCCTTGGTGCATCATCCCTGTTGAAGGCAGAGGCAAAGAAAGAGTTAAACGCCTCTGCCTTGTCTCTGTCCCTGTTTGTGAGGTGACCATCCTCATCCTGTAATGGGCTGATGATATTTCTATACTGCCTTTCTCCATTAATATATTGGAAAAAACTGTTTTTATTGTCCCCCACATTTCTGGCACCTTCAACCCCAGCTGAGCTTTGGCCTCACAGATTTTCTCCCTGCAGCGGCAAGGAGCATCTCTGAATTCTTCCCATGTCACTTAACCTTGCTTCCTTTGGGCATAGACTTTCCACTTTTGCCTTATTTCCAAGAGAAGATCCCTGCTCAGCCAAGCTGCCCTTCTGCCTCAGCTGCTTGACTTCCAGCATTTGGGAGTTGCTGCTCCTGTGGCCTTAGGAGGTGATGTTTGAAAAGTGACCAGCACTGATGGACCCCAGCACCTGCAAAAACCTTTTCCCAGCGGACCTTACTTCCTAATTCCCCGAGCTGCCTGAAGTCTGCTCTCCTCACGTGCAGAGCTGAGGTTTCACTGGCACTTTTCCTCCTATCAAGGAGATTTTTAAAGAGATTTTAAACTCGCTGATTTCATGGTCGCTGTGGCCAAGAGGCCACCAGTCTCCACTTTGCTCACGAGATCCGCTCTGTTGACAAGCAGATGATCAGGGAGGGCATCTTTCCAATTCAGCTCCCTCGGCACCTCTTCCATAAAGTTGTCCAGGTTTTTTTAGGAATCTTTTGGCCCAGCCTGTATTAAGGCTTAATTACTGAAATGCACCAAGTAAAGGTTTTAGTTCCTAACTGAAAATACATAAAGCTGTACCTACTATTTTGGCAGTACTCAGTTAACGGTTGGACTTGATATTAGAGGTTTTTTTCCAAAACAAGCGATTCTGTGAGGCATATAACAATTTCTCATGTCCTGGCTTACCCACTTGTGGTTCCTAACACTGTCTCATCAGATGCAGTAATGACTGCAGTTAATTTAGCTGTAGTGGATGTAAAGTAAGCTGGTTAGTGCAAGCAGGCTCTGCAGTTCCCTTATGTGGGAGCAAGCTGTGCAACACTGTCAGCATATGCTATTATATGCAACTAACTCCACGTGTAATTTTGTAATAAAAACATAACTTAAAGCATTTGTCTGCATTTTTTTAGTGTGTTTCTTTCGGTCTTTATGTGTGCATAGTTTGTCCTTCTCAGATGGTGGTAGAGATAAAATATCCCCTTTCACGGATATTGGATTCTGTTGCAGTGAGGTGTCTTTTGCACTGGAGTATTCTTAACCCGGAAACTTTCAGTACACTTGATGTATTCAGTGGAGCCTTGAATTCTTATCTGCACAGTCAGGAAAAATCCTTTGAGGATCTTAGAAGGTCTGCTTCGTTTCTTCTCGGAATTCTGTTCAGACAGCTGAAAATCTCATTTTTTTAATGATTTTATTCACCCTTTGTAACCAGATTAAACTGAAGTCACAGGTCAAGAGATTAACTGGTAATGTTATGTATCTTCTCTGAGCCGGAAGAATGGCTTTATTTGGGACCTCTTTGTTTTTCCTTTTCCTATCTTTTCCATGCATATATTCAGCCAAGGAGTATTTTCCCTCCCATTTGTGAAAGTTAGAAGGCACCTGCAGTACAGAACTACAAAGGATGTCTATACCTGGACCAGAAAACCACATCTACCCTGTTTTCAGGAAATGGTTATTGTAAACTGTGTTCTTACAGAGTACTTGTCTGATGTGAAACCTTTCATTGGGAATTATCATAAAGGGAACAAACAAATGCTGGTGTTCATTCCATAATATAGTCTTTCTGACACTAAACATTAAAAGCTGCTACTGTAATTAGACAGTAGTGGAGGTTATATTTTTAACACTTCGTTAATGCATTCTTTGCATACCTTTTTTTTTTTTTTTTTGGCATGTTGTGGGGGTTTTTAACACATTTGAAACTCCAGCACTGAAAATAGGTGTATGTTTCTACCCCTATGAGTTGTTCCTAATTGAAACTGTACTAAATTCAGAGTGCTGAACAGACAGGGTGTTCAATTTACCACTGCCAGTCAAGAAAGCTCAGAAATACAACAATCAAATGCAACCCCTAAAATAAACATCATCAATGAGGAGGGAACAGAATTGTTCCTCTGTGTATGGTGTTCCCGTGTCTTTCACGAACAGGATTCAGAGGACGCTTGGAATAAAGCAGAGTATTCTTTATAGACACTTGCATGAATTTCAGCAAGAATAAGTCATCCCAAGGTAAGACTGATGAACAGTGTCCAGTGGGACAGTGTCTTTTGGGATGTGACCTCTTAGTCACTTGTGGTCTGAGGGAAGAGCTTAGATTTAGTCCTGTAGTCTTCTGTGGCAAAAACAGTAGGATCCCTCTGACAAAATGCTTTTTTGGGACGTGGTCAACTTAGGGCCTTATTCTTGAAAATGATGTCTAGAAGTAATCATTAAAGAGCTATCTACTGACAAAGTTAGTAGGTTTTTATACTGGTTATGCAAGCACAGTGGTACTTGCAAAGATAATGCCACTTCTGAGCTAAGTTTACCAATGAGGAAGTAAGCAGATACATAACAGGGAAAATATATTGTTTCATGTAGAACATACTCTTAACAGAAAAAAAAACATTGTCTCATGTAGAACAAATGTGTAACCAGACAAACCATGAAAACCCTATGCTGAAGAAGACTGGCGTTCAGCTTAAGAACAAACAACAGCAACAAAAGAAAAGTCATGTTGTAACAGAAATGTTCCCTTTTTTCATTCAAGTGTTTACTGTCATTTGGATTGCAAGGAAGCTCTCAAATTCTCTTGCAATAGGCACCTCAGTTCTGTGGTAGTCAGCTGTTCACAGAAGTACTGAGCTAGAAAAATGATGGCTGAGCCGGCCAGGTTGCAACTGCGGCTACCAAGCCTTTAATTTTAATGTGTCTGAGACAAAAATCTTTCTTTTGAAGGAGCTTGACTAAACATTTGAGCTGTAGAGAGGAGGGTCTTAGAGTAGGAAGTTTTATATTACTTTAACCTGTAGACATCAGCTGTAACCTGCAGCATTTGATCAGGGGAAACACCACAGTGAGTTGTCCTAAGGGGTTCTTCTGTACAAGAAAACGTAACCGTTGGTACTGGTAGTGTGTAGTGATGTGACTCGTGTATAATTTTGCTACCAAAGAGCTGTGTCTAAATGGAAGACTATTGGTACAACTGTCCCTTGTAAATCAGTGTAACTGGAACATTGCATGGACAATGGAGCATTATTAAAGTGCATGAAATCCTATCCTATGCCTGCTTTCATCAGAGGCTGATGTTCTTGCCTTTGTCTAGCTCTGTCCGTGTAAGCCATTACTGACTTTCATCTTCATGGTCTTTGCAAATCGTCTGACAAAACGGTGTGTAAGTAAGTCCTTCCTAATCCATTCAGTGAGAAATCACCTCAGCTAGCACAAAGTGCTTCCATCAGTTGCTGTCCGGTTGTGCTGAGGCAGATTGGGATGTGCCATTCAGCTGGACCTTCTGTAGCAGCATTCTCCAGCGGAAAACCAAGGGAGTTTCTTAGCACTTTCACCATAGAGAACACTTTCACAAGTGCTAACAGCCAATTCATGCAGTGCTGTGGTAATGAGGGACTTACGGAGAGGTGGGACAAGTCTGTCAAAATTGAGGGTGCACACACTTATTTAGGTTTGTGTAAGTACCTGCCACGAAGAGCTAATAGAAGCTTCACCAAATTTAGCCAGGAATCCCACCTTAGGATCCTTGGGCGCCTACACTGGCTGTCTTATAAAAGCTCTGTGGTGCTAGGACCCTGTTCTCCACGAGGTGCATCACTCATCACGGAGACATAAGCCTACTTGAGGTTTCAGCCTTGCAGAACTGAAGTCGTTGCTGTATTCTGCTGCTGCCGCTCCGCTGCCGCTCCGCTAGATGACAGTGTGATTCGCATTCCCAGCCCGCCGGCGACGCTTCAGCGCCGGCGAGCAACGGTGTCACCTCCTTCTCCGGGCAGCATCACTAATTTCACACCTGCTAATTAAACACGGGGGAGCAGCTGCTTGGTAATTCAATACGTAGCGCCACACAGGCATCGAGCGCAAGCATGCTGGGAGGGGAGGGGCTAAATGACCGTCTTCGTGTTGGTGTTAATTGGAGAGCAATTTTTTGTTAACTGAAATGATGCCTTCTCTGACACTGGACACCTCGTAACAGGTTTTGACTCTGTTTAGTCCTGGTGCTCTAAAAATAACCCCTCTGCTCAGAACTTGGGGTCTGTGGCCCATTTACACCTTTTGGAGACAGGCCTCCAGTCAGAGAGTTACACTCATATGCCCTCACAAGCTGGGAAGTTTTCATCCCCTAAAGCCAGCCTTGTTATGATAAATTTCTCCAGTCCTTCTGTAATGAAGTGCTGGCCATTGCTGGCTGTTTC